AGGGACTGGCGAATCGCCGGGGGAGGGAGTAGGAGAGGTGGGGGGAGGTGGTGAGGGTGTTTTCACGTCCGAGTTCGTTCGTTCGTTCGTTCCGGAGACTTTGACGATGATGTAATTCGGTGACGTCTTGCGACGACGAAGATTGTGTTACTTGTACGTCGTCGTGTGTGTCTTCCGCCTTTTTTTTCACTTCTTTGGACTCTGTTCCCTCGGAGAGACGAACTATCGCGACGTCCAGGGGAGAGAAACAGTACTTCTATTGCATGAAAAACTCGCGGATGCAACACAGTACTTCGGCCTTGAGCGCCCTCTGCCTCCCCGCCCCCCTTCTCGGCGGCCGGGGCAGCTTCTCCCTTCGCCGGCCGGAGTCGCTCTGGTACATGACTCGCCCGGCACACGAGACCCTCAAGAGGCGTCCAAGAGCGGCGCCGCAGTCTTGGCAGGCCCCTTGGAGCACCTCTCGGTCTTCCTGTGCCTTCTGGAGGAGTCACTCGGGGGCCACACGGCGTCACGAAGAGCGAAGGCGCGGGAGGAACACCCCGTTGGTACGCAGAAGGAAGTGGGCGAGAGATTCCGCGAAGACTGCCTTGGCCTGGAGTGGGTTCGGGTTTTGCACTGCTGCAGTGTGTCTTTTCAACATCTCTTGGTTCATCGGATCCCATTGTCTCGTTTACACAGGAAGTAGACATCAGGTCAGGGGGTTGGGCTTTGTTTAAACATACACTCAAATAGACCTATAAACATTATCTTTTTTGGTATATATAGTATCATTATTTTTCCAAACAACAGAGAGTGAGTAATCAAAAAAATAACAGCTGATCTACAAATGGGCGAGAGGAGTCTGTTGAGCTCTTAGTCAGTTTGGGTCAAGGTCGTCGAGGCTAATCACACGTGTCAACACATCTCGTAAACCTAGGATGAGCCTTCAAGATCAGCTGATAACAGGACGTTGTAAACACAGGCCATTCACAGCTGGTGTGCGAACGCTTGATAAGTCATCCCCTGTGGCCTTCTCTGTTTTTTAAATTCAATTCACTACCATTTCTGTTTGTTTTCATCTTTTAAGTCTGTTCATGAGTTCTCTCTTCTTTTCTTTACAGCTAGTCTCGTAGTCACCACTGTTAATGATGCCAAGATAAAAAAAATGTATATATATTAGAGAGTCGTCAGTCAGGGTTTGCAGTCAGCTCCTCCGGGAATCAACAGACACGAAACATACACTGAAAAAACGACAAACGAACGCCGCGTCCAACCAGGATGTAGGGAAAAAAACAACAACTCATTTTGTACACACAACGAGACCCTCGAGGCTTACTTGCAATACCTCACGTCGTCAGTGTTGTCTCCGGGCGGTCGGCAAGGGGCAACACCACCTGAGGAAGGGTGGAACAACACAGTGGTGATGGCAGAAGGATGGTGGAGAGCTGGGAGTGGTCTTGTGCAGCTGCTGGGGTCTTGTTGCGGTTTTACAGGTGAATAGTTGTCATATGTGCATACACATGTGCGTGTTATGTTTGTGTGTTTGTATTTTGTGTGTGTGTGTGTGTGTGTGTGTGTGTGTGTGTGTGTGTGTGTGTGTGTGTGTGTGTGTGTGTGTGTGTGTGTGTGTGTGTGTGTGTGTTTCCGTGTGCGTGTTCTGTACATTTGTATGGACACGCATATCTGAATGCATGTATCCACACATGTATAGTATACGACTTTCATGATATTTTACTCTCATTTTTAAAAAAAATGCATATACTCGCAGTCACGTAACACCCACCAAACAACACAACGAACTTCCTTTACCAACAGACACCTTGCAAACGGAATATCCCTGTCTGGCAACTCTAAATCAGCTGTATGGAGATGTCATGACAGAATGCTATGGACGCAAAGGACAGCTGATTCTGCGCTCTGGTGAGGATGGCGTCCTCGCAAGCACGATTCAGTCACGGGAGATGTGCACTGACGTGGTAAGTCTGGATACCAGACTACTGACACTAGTGTTGTGATTGATACAACGGCATGGTCGTGAGAATGAGGAGGAAAAGAAAGAAATGACAAAAGAAGAAGAAAAGAAAAAAGGAGGGATATAGGGACAGAGAAAAGGTGGAAACTGATAATTGGGTCTGAAACAGAAAGGCATAATGGAGTTACAGGTGTGAAGTAGAAGACGTGAGAGAGAGAGAGAGAGAGAGAGAGAGAGAGAGAGAGAGAGAGAGAGAGAGAGAGAGAGAGAGAGAGAGAGAGATAAAGAGAGAGAGAGAGAGAGAGGAAGGACAACAAATACACCAATAATTATGCCAAAACAACCGAAGCAACACGAAGCAAGTCACAATCAACATCAATGACACTTCAGAGACACCCAGGCAGTGGTTGTGACTTCCGGAGTTAATTATCATCATTTGTATTTTTTCGGGAGTGAGGTGCGCACGAAAGCACGCTTCGAAACATTTTAAACTGACAATGGAAGTCACCTTGAAGGTCACAAGGTCAAACAGGAAAAAATGCCCTAAAGTCATTGTAAGTTCACACCATATTGTCTCAGGTATTGTGCGATTTCTTGGCCCGTCCTGGCTTGGTCTTGGTCTCAGAAGTCTTGGTGTTCGAGACTCCCTCCTCGTGTTCGAACGAAACAGTTTACCTCAACCTATCAGTGATAAGTCAGTAATAAAATGTACATCTGTAGTATTGTCTCTGGAGTAGCACATGGCAGTGTTCCTAGCCACTTACAGGATATACACATTTAAGATTGGATTTAAAAAAAAGTACATGAAGTGCAGACACCGACAACTCTTTCCCCTTCCTCCACTTGGGTCTTGAGTCCCAGAGATATATCAGATTCTCTTGGGGGGAAAAAAACAACTTTCCTTCCCTTTCCATCACTAGCTGCATCTGGTCCGTCTCGGAACGATAGCTGACTGGTGGTCCAACGTGGCTAGCAGAACAGCCAGCAATAGACCATGCATCGCCCATCACAAGCAAAGGAACCTGTACCTTGCTAGTGGCTAGTAGACCACCTCCCTTCACTTAACTAATAATGAACAAGGGACCAGATCGCGGTATACCCAAAGAAGACACCCTTTAACAATACGCAATACACAGACAACACCAACCCCTCTTGGTTGTCTGCTCTACACAAAACACTATCTGAGGAAAACATTCTAGCGGTGAGGTTACAGGCGAGAGTGGCACTTTGCGCGTAAAGGCAGTGTGGGTCAGCCTGGCACTTTGAAGTGTAGTTTTACTGGAGTCGATTGGCACAGTTGGGTCTGATTTACATATCTAGTAATACTGATCTCACTTCCGTTTCGTAAGGCAGTTCTGCGTTCCCTTAATGAAAACCGAACTTCGTACACACAACTCTTAAGATCTTTGGTTCATTGAGAGAAAAAGAGTTCAAAGGCTTTAAAATCATCCTTATTTTCTTCTGCATAATATCACACAACAATGCTAAATCATTGAGGAAGTGAGGCAACAGTTCTACTCAGCTTAGGACTGACTAAGCTGACTAATCGACATCCTTCACAATCTTCAATACGTACAAGTTTAAATCATATCATAACATTATAACAGTTTAAGGCGAGTATAAACTATGACTTTTTTCATTTCCAAAGACTTTGTAGAAAACTTTCTGAAATTCACGGTTATTACAATGAAGGCAGCGTTGGGTATTATATATGAACGGAAACAAATAGTGATACACAGCATCTGAAAAATCTGTGTTGATACATCTCCAAAACACACTCGAAGAGAGAAGAGAGAGAAATAGAAAAACTCTTGGAAACCTATTCACACTTTCACTTTCACTCTTGACTGACCCTCCTCACAAGTGCCACTTCTGCCTGGCACCTTCACGACGAACAGAATGGAACAAACTAGCATTGAGTCGAGGGGATACTGCACCAATCCAAAATATCTGAGGACATGATAAGGTCTATATAAACATCTCAAAGCTTGTATATTAAAATCCTACGGTCGTTGTGTCACATAAAATTTACAAAGCTAATCTATACTCAAATGGAAATCCATCTAAATATACCAAGTGTTGTGAAAAAATTATGACATATTCGTACCTGCTATGATAGAGGAAGGAGCATTGGTGGAGACAAAGCACAGGTATTCTCAGCTATAAATGATCTCAAAACCGAATACCAGAAATAAATAATCGAGGAATTTCAATACCTATCTTGTCTCAGACAATTATGTCTATGGTAGATAATTCTAAACTGTACACTCTCTAGTATGACTTGAGCTTGGGTACAGCTATGAGTCTTGGCACGGGGAATGTTGGCACCATCGCTGTAGATTCAAACGGGGAAAGTCAAGGTCTTTCGAAGATCTTTAAAAAACAATCAAACATCTTAAGTACCTTTTCGTACCTCTTCTTCCATGGGTTTCGTATGTGCATCCATCTGAAGCACATACACATTTATTATAATGATATATACATAAAGATGTATATATATATATCCATAACGGTGCATTGATAAGTTGCAAGGGAATTATATATATATATGTATATATGTAAAAAAAGAAGCACACAATGCATATTCATGAGCATGGTGATCTTAAGGCCAAAGAATTGTAAGAGTCCAGAGGCGTCTTTGTGCAGAGTGAGCCAGGGTGGCGTCGAGTGGCCTTGGCTTGTTGTCCGATGGTGGTGGTTTCCTTCGCCAAGTGTCGGTGGTGTTAGTGGTGGTGATACTGCGGGTGTTGGGGGTCGTGGTGGTGGACGTGGGATTCCTGCTGGTGGTGGTGAGGAGGTGGGTCGTGTTGGTGGTGGTGGTGGGGGTCGTGTTGGTGGTGGTGTGGATCCATTGTGTGGTGATGAGGGTCGTAGGTGTGCGCATGGGCATGCATATGGTGTGGGTGCTCCACGGGCACCTCTCGGCCTCCTCGGCGTATCGCCAGGACCTCCCTCCGGATCATGCGCCCTACTTCCTGAGGCGTGAGGTAATCGGAACCCTCAGAGTACGAGGTCTTGCGGCTGGCGGGGGCGCTCTTGTACCCACAGTGTTTGTACAGCTCTTTCTCCTCCTTCGACGAGTAGATCCCTGGGAACTCCGTGTGGAGTACTGTTTGGATGTCATCCATCGTCATGTACTCGTGGTCTTCAGGCATGGCCTCGCGCTCCGGGTGGCAGTCGTGGTGAGTGATACTTCCTGGCGCATGGCTGCAGCCAGGGCAGTCTGGGGTATCGCCTGCCCGGAAGGAACGGATCTCGCCCATGGACAGGTAGCCTCCGCTGTCTCTTCTTGCCTCGCCGACAGATGCGCTTGAGATCCTCCTGTAGGCCCCTCGAACTTCGTCCATGGACATGTAGTCCTGGTCGTGGGTATGGTGGGGCAGGTTGGCATAGTGAGGTTCATGGGGGGCGGGGGGAGGCGGAGGCTCCCGAGGGGGAGGTGGAAACCCACCAGGTAGGAGGCGAGAATCGCACTCCTTCCAGCAGTCCCCTTCGTCCCTCCACAGAGAGGGATCTGTGGGGGGCTGCGGGGAGCTTAGTTTCCGAAGGGGACTGAAGGAGTGGCCCGTGGGAGTTCCCGCAGGAGTGGTAGTCACGGAGTCGTGGTGGGAGTGGAAGGGGATCCGTATGGCTGGCGAGGAAGGCGGCAAATAAGACATGGAGCGCAATCTGCTCCCGGGGACGACGTCAGCGTCCGCCCAGTCCGAGTCCGTGTCCCTGACGGGCGTACCGCAACTCTGGGACCCTTTGTCTACAGCGAAACTGTCCATTGAATAACTGTTGGGGAACTTTGTGGAGAGATCTTGGGGTGGTAAAAAGTTAATGCCCGACTTACGTTTTCTCTCTAAAGAGCCACTTTTCTCTTTAGGGAATTTCTTTAAGAAGCTAAAAGTCTTTGACATTAACTTTGGTGACTTGAGGAAAGCATAAGAGTCTTTTCCAGCGTGTCCTCCCGCTGCCTCCTCACTTGCGTCGGGAGGCTCGCCAGGGGGACCACTGGAAGCCTCGGGACGCCAGTACTGCCGGTGCTGACACGCCTGCTGCTGCTGCTGTTGCTGCTGCTGCTGGGGCGTCTCGGGCGTGGAGGCGTCCGCGAGGGAGCTGTCCGTGCTGGGCGTCCGCTGACCCTGAAGAGAAAACTGACGGTGAAGTCTAAATCCTGGCTTAGACAACGGTGAGGTCTGTGTATCATTTTTGCCAGAACCCTTAAAGAGAAAAAGATGTTTGGGCCTAGGAATCATGGGGGACCTACTCGGGGAAACACCAAAAAGAGATCTTGCCTTCTGTTTTGGCGACATTTTGGGGGATGCTGAACGGCTTGACTGACGCTCTCGTCTATCAACGGGTTTCTTCTTGACTCTAGGCAGAGTGCCCAGGGCCTGCACCATTGCCATATCCTCACTACCTAATGTGGACAAATCATCATATCCTGAGCTCACATCGAGCATGCTTTCTGTGGAATGAGATTTGCTTTGAAATGAAAGACCAAATATTTTCTTGAGAGTACCTGACTTGGACAGAGCCTCTTCCGCCCACGGGTCAGGCGAGAAGGACTTCGGCCGCCTGGGAGGTAGTGGAGGAGGCTTCGTCTTTTCCTGGAAACTGTAACTCCGCTTAATATCTCTCCGGCACTTGTCAAGCTCCTCGTAATCGTGCTCTTTTGCTTGCTGGTTCGCTTGGGTCAGAGGCTTCAGGACGTCTACTATTTCCTCATACACTGTGCAAGCCTTAGAGGACGTTGTGAACTCCGAGAGCCGCCTGAACTCGTCATGCTTGTCTGTCACTTCCTTGTAGGACTCCGACATGGTCCTGCTCAAACTCCCTTTCTTTCTCTCTTTGTGTGCCGCACACGTCACGTTTAGATTCTTGGCGAAGAAGGACTTCCTGGCCCTTGCGCTCTGCAGGCACCATGCGCCTACCTTGGTCTCCACGTCTGGCTCCTCCTCCAGGGCGCTCATGCCTCGCCGGCTGGAGGCCTCCTGCTTTCCATCCCCTGACTGAGGATCCGCCTTTTTGGCCTCGTCGCCCTCCGCTGCCACCTCCCTGTTCTCGTCTTTCGTTCTGACGCCAGAGTCTATGGAGTCGGACTTGGTGACGAAGCGGCGGGCGGCGTTCTCGGACATGTACCGGCCGCCGTCGCAGTGCGTGGAGGGGGAGGCTGAGAGCCGGACGCCAGAGTCTGTGGACCGGTAGGAGTTGTAGGAACCAGAGGAGGACGTGCGGTCTTTAGGGAGGTCTGCCTGGCGGAGGTCAGCGTCTTCGAGGTCGTCGTCACGCGACTCTAGCTCTTCGTCAGTCTCGTCCAGGCAGAGTTTGGCGAGGTTCGTCTCGCTCATCGACCGGCGGCGGGAGTGGCCCAGCAGGCGGCCCGGCAAAGGCGGCTCTCCTCGCAGCTCCTCAGCCAGGTTGCACTGACTGCTGCTCAGGCGGGTCGGAGTGTGGATGTTGCACAGAGGTTGCAGCTCGTGAATCTGAGCCAGATCTATGACGGATGTGGACTTGCGCATCTTGGGCGGGTCCGGCAGACGCTGAGGCAACACCACCACGGAGCTGAGGGCGCCCGAGAGCTCCGACAGGTCGCTGATGAGGGAGACATCATCCGCTGCCGAGGCCGAGATGAGCTTGGAGACGGCCTCGTGAAGCCCCTCCAGCAGAGAGCTGAGTTCAGGCGAGAAGAAGTAGAGATAGGCCTCGCCGCACGGGTGGCATCTGCGGAAGGAGGGTCAGTCACTCAGGGGAAATTTCATTTGGGGAAAAAGGGGAACAATTTGCTCAAAAAGGAAATTTCGACTGTCAAAATCGAGGTATTCGAAAGTCGTGATTCAAAACGTCTTGAAGTCACTGCAACGATAGAGCGACTGACATTACACTGGTGGAGAAAACAACTGTCTCCAACAACAAACGAGGAGAAGGAAGAAGAGAATGGGACAGGGAAAAGAAGAAGAGAAAGGGGAAGCGAAAAGAGGAATTGGAGGAGGAAGTAATGTTATTATAGTACATTTTGAGGGACGACTTCTGATACCTATCGAATTTGATTAAAGAAAAAAACTTTTTCATAAAAACATATCATTTGTAATACAGTTGTATTTCATAGAAAAGGAGACTATAAATGGAATATACTTTTATTCAGAAAAATATAGCCCACCTTCCAGGATGTTCAGATATCAAAAAGAGAGTCATGTTACACATTTGAAAAAATACAAAAATATGAATTATCAAATGGGGTAAAATATTATCAAACCGACACAAAACATTCGTTGAAGTTAATACTTTAAATATGCACAGGCAAATGCAATTATGACAACACTTATGATTATTATTGCAGTCACATTAAGCCTTAACTTAACCTGAAAATGTGATGCATTTGCTAAAAAAAAAAGAAAAAAAGAATGAACAAATAAAAACCGAAAAAGGAAGAGAGAGAAGGGAAGATAACTAGATAGACAGATAAATAGACAGAACAAGCAACTGAATAACAGAAAGAGAAAAAATGAAAGAAAAAGACAAAGAAAAAGTAAAAAAAAAAAACGTAGAAAGAGAGAGAGAGAGAAAAAAAAAAAGAAAATGATATAGGAGCTAAAAAAGATTTGCTGTGTTATTCATCACATACTTTCTGTCCTATGAGTACCTTTAATCATCTCTCGCGCCGCAAAACTTTCGGGGATGCTGTCATCTGCACCCGAGATGAGCAGGATTTAAGGGATGTTCGAAACTATAAAATTGATTTACTTTCCATCTCCCATATCTTTCTTTTATTCTCTCTCTCTCTCTCTCTCTCTCTCTCTCTCTCTCTCTCTCTCTCTCTCTCTCTCTCTCTCTCTCTTCTCTCTCTCTCTCTCTCTCTATCTATCTATCTCTATCTATCTATCTCTATCTATCTATCTATCTATCTCTATCTCTCTCTCTATCTATCTATCTATCTATCTATCTATCATCTCCCTCTCCCTCTCCATCTCCTTCACCCTCACCTTCACCCTCTCCCTCTCCCTCTCCTTCTTCTTCTCCCTCTCACTCACTCTCTCTCTCTCTCTCTCTCTCCCTCTCCCTCTCCCTCTCCCTCTCTCTCTCCCTCTCCATCTCCCTTTCCCTCTCCCTCCCCCCCTTCCTCTAAATCTTCCTCTTTTTCTCACCCTCTCTTTTCTCTTCCTTCCCTCCCTGTCCCTCCCTTCCCTCCTCTCTCCTATCCTTCCCTGATACCTCCTTCTCCCTCTTTTATCTCCCATTCTCTTTTCTCTCTTCCTTGTCTCCTTCCTGATCTCCGTTTCCCTGGTGTCAGGTGTCAGAGTCATACGTCATTATCACGTTAACGAGTGAGTGTTTGCCATTACGCTGATGGAGTGAACATTTGTCTCCAGCAATAAAGGAGGAGGGAGGAAAGGGAGGAGGGAGGAGATAGGAGGAAAGAGGGAAGAGAGGAAAGGAAGAAGGGGAGAAGAGTGGATCGGAGGAGGGAGGGAAGAGGTAGGAGGAAAGGGAGGAGGGAGGAGATAGGAGGAAAGAGGAAAGAGGGGATCGGAGGAGGAGAGAGGGGAAAGGAGGAAGAAGAGGCAGGAGGAGGAGGAAAGGGAGGAGAGAGGAGATAGGAGGAAAGAGGGAAGAGAGGAAAGGAAGAAAGGGAGAAGAGGGGGAGGAGAGAGGAGATAGGAGGAAAGAGGGGAAGAGGGGAAAGGAAGAAAGGGAGAGGAGTGGATCGGAGGAGGGGGAGAAGAGGCAGGAGGAAAGGGAGGAGATAGGAGATAGGAGGAAAAAGGGAAGAGAGGAAAAGAAGAAAGGGAGAAGAGGATATCGGAGGAGGGAGAGAAGAGGCAGGAGGAAAGAGAGGAGAGAGGAGGAAAGAGGGAAGAGAGGAAAGAAGGAGGGGAGAAGAGGGGATCGGAGGAGGGAGAGAAGAGGCAGGAGGAGAGGGAGGAGAGAGGAGATAGGAGGAAAGAGGGGAGAGGAAGAAGGGGAGAGAGGGGAAAGGAGGAAGATGAGGGGGAGGAGGAGGAGGAGGAAAGGGAGGAGAGAGGAGATAGGAGGAAAGAGCGATGAGGGGAAAGAAAAAAGGGG